TCGCTGAGAACAATTTAACGATTCATGCCATAAAATATCGCGCTTTAATTAAATGTCTGAAGAGGGGCGGGGTAAATTTGAACACAAGTTGTGCAGATCTTTATAATGCAACTTGCTTTATTTATGGTATTGCAGCGTGCAGATAGAAATGCAAGTTTTAATTGGGTTTGCAGGGGGTGTTTATCATTTATCGTATATCTGGACTAACTAGACGCATTGCGAAAAATATAAAACATATTTGATGCTTATAGAAAATGGTTAACAAAATATGGAGTAATTAAAGAAATTAACCTTAGATCATTGTAGTAATACGTGATGAAATAATCAATTTGGCTTTAATATGTTGATTGTGAGCGTTATTATTATTATTATTATTATTATTAATATAATGTAAAAAAGATTTTAAAGACTAAATTAAGTAAAAGAAATAAATTTATTTCGATGATCTATCATTTCAGTCATGTCGTTTACGAGATTGCGACGGATTTAGATTATTCAGATTATATCAGCAAATTAGATTTTCAACCCGATGGTAAAAAATCTTGTAAAGTTTGTCAACAGTCAGTATCCTGCGCTGACGTACCTTGAACGTGATCCGAGTAATGCGAGCCTCCAGTCTCAAGGCAAGACCGACGATACGCTTGCGCGTGTCTCGAATCGCGTCCATTATTTGTAGACCTCTGGTGGTATCTTACTAGTTGAAGGCAACATAAACCTCATTATAAGTGTCCGTTCATTTTTATTTTAATGGAAATGAAAACGTAAAACTTCACAAGACACCTTTTATTTTGGAACAATTTACAATGAATTAACATAAATTTGCTATTTGGTCATTGTTACGAAGGGTCATTGATAGCTTATTTATATAGGATTTCTTGTATTTTTAACTTATTTTACTTTATATAAATTACCTAATACCTGTACATTTAAATAATTTCATCTTGTAGTATATTACTTGTTGTACTTTGAGGTTATGAGGTACTGAAAGGTCAAGCGACATTGGTTTCGTTCCAATAAGAGCGAATCGAATTACGTTAAAAGCATTTTCTGGCCAATCGCGCCGATTAATAATTATTATTAACGTGGACTGTATTGAATTTCTAGAGAAAAGTAATTGAAGTATACATAATACGTAATCTTACTCATCATGCAGACAATAAAAAATACTATAAATTTGGTTAAATGTTTTGGTTCCCTTAAAAAAGTGCAGTCAATAATTTGGTCATACTGTATGAACGTTGCACTAAAACAAGTGCAATGGAGAAACTAAGAATTGATTTGGTCCCATTTTCTTACATCAAAATAAATTAAATCTTATTAACTACCATTGAGATTTTAGTTTGCTGACAGATAAGGTATAAAAATTCAATGAAAGCTTAAATACTAGTAACTAAAACTAGGATTAAATTATTATGAATAAAATGAGGTCGTCGCGGCAAGTTGCCCAATATGCTGGCAGTGTTCCTCTTTTGTATAGCTATGTTAATACGTTGGGCTGTATAGCTATGTTAATACGTTGGGCAAGGTAGCAGTCAGCCCCCAAGACGGGGTTCTCGCCTTGTCGTGGCCGGGGGCTCTAGTAGCCGTGGTCGATTTCATTTCATGGTGAAGCTAAGAGGAACCGACGGGGCCAGCCGATGGTGGTAGGTTGGCCCGAGGAGGAAGACGTTCCCCACGGGCTCGTCTGGTCAGCGGGACCGTGCGGATGCGCGCTGGGAGGAGGGTCGCGGGGGGAGAGACGTGTCGGTGTGTCGTTGCCGCTCGTCCTATCCTCCACGGCCGAACTTGGGCGGTTGGCTCGTGGTGGGCTCTCCTAGGGACTCTCTTTGGAGAGTCCGCGCGGATGCGCGTTAGGTATCGCGGTGGAGCCTACCATCAGATCCGCCGCGGGGCTGGGGGAGCAGCCACTACACTTCATAGTTGAGTGGATGCTGTCCCGGCCCCTGGGTAGCGGACTCGGGGGAGTTCGTTGCCCAGGATAGAGGGGCCCGGGATGGATGGCTCGTCTGGTGTTCGGCGAGCATCACACTCGAAGTCAGGGGACCGATGTGTCTCCCTTCTCGGGGAGGGACTGCGCAGGGCGCGGCTAGCCACTGGTGGGAGCGCGGACGAGTGCAATAGCGTGCCCGTACCCCCACCTACAGCGGAGAGGAGGAACACTCCGGGGGTTTAGTGCGGTCAGGCTGCTCCCGTTCAGGGTTCAGTCCAGTCCCACATAATCCTGGCATTGCCCCCTGCGGGGCCGGGGTATCTGTAAGCAGATTCCCCCGGATTAACAAAGAAAAGGTAGCAGTCAGCCAGTTTATGGAGAAACCACAATGTACTAACCAGACAATACTAAACGCTGTTGTTTGTACGAACAATTATAAATAGAAATTTCAGTACAGTTTTTGCAGTAATACATTATCGAGCAATTATCGATAAAAACTACTTAAAATACGTTAAATAGGTATTTGGTAACGTCGTTTACTAAAATGAAATCGACATTTACGGCTCAATTATTGAACGTCTGTAATTAAGGCACGTGAAGCTATTACATTTTTTTGCTTATAATTACCAGATAATCTATTGCGCGAGGTGTTCATTGGTGCTTTTTTTCTCGAGGAAACGAAGCGAAGCAAAAGCGGGCAGTTTGCGAATTATACAGGAAGTATGCAAGAGTAAAGTTATGTATCATTACGGTCTTGAATGAGAATAACTCGTTTGAAGCGTGCCTTAATAATTAATATGGAAATTTTAGAGGAGGAGTTGAATTTAATAATTAATTTTATGATAAAATCTCGCGAAATATGTTTTTAATTTTTTTATTTTCACGATTATTTACCACCGTGATATACATATATATTTTTTTGGCGAAAAACCTCCACTAGATTGTCATAATTACTAAAAGTTGATACTAACTTAGCTCGAAATAATTTTTTTCCCATAATACGGTTTATTTTGCTTGGGTCGAGACCCGAAATTAGAAAGAACGAAATTAAACCCATTTGAAAAATGTAGTACGCATAATCATATACTGTCCATGTTTTAATTAGTTTAATTATATGAAAAAATCATTGGTATATGTAAATTACTTATTGAATACAGCGAATTTTGTGTAAAATTTCGACGTAACTGTATATCCCCAATTTTACTATATATTTTTTTCCAATGATTGATTTAACACTTTCATTGTTATTCGGAATCAACCAAAGCCATTTGAGATAGTATCTACTCTTAACACAAAGATCAAACACAAAGAAAAATTCCTTCGACCCGATGGGACTTGAGAGGAACCTCTAACCACGCTATAGAGAAATACGTCATCGATATTTCATATCTTTGACATAATACAGCCACATGTCATCATACGTCAAAATTGCTGTTAACACGTGAAAATCGTAAAAATAATACGAACAATAATGAAAGTATATCGCCGGGGATAGTACAAATCCGCGTAGTGTTGGTAAAAAGCGCGTATCTACACAAAACCAAATTTCACAGGAGTGGGCTTTAACGTTATTACTGATTACTAACTAAGTTAGACTAAGTTACTGAAATGGAGACTCATAATCAAATGCTATCCTTCACTATCCTATTTAAGCTTAAAAAGCTATCGACTAATTTCGTTCGTAGAATCTTTAAGCGTCTCTGCTGAAATGTTGTCATTTTGCAGTTGTATCTTTATTACATGAAGGGTGCGATTTTTAAAGTGCATTTTTTTCTTTGTATACTAAGTGGCGGCACGAACAAATCAATATAATAGATTTAGATATTGATTTATGGGTGGATCAACTTTTTTTTGTCAGCACGTGTCCTTGACATAGTAATACCTCAAAAAAAGAAACTATGATAATCTAGTATTTTATACCAATACTATTGGATGATCAGATAAACAATCATTATCATTCACTTAACATATTTGCTCAAATAACACTTTCATATAAAGAAATAGTCGTGACCTAGCAGACAAATCAATGTTGTCATACAAAACTTTGTTGTCCCCGAGCGTGTGGGGTGTGGTATTTAGCGACAATTTTAAAAATTTTCGTTAGAATATAGTAAACTTTAATGACGATAATTTACTACAATACTTCTACAATTATTATCTTCATTTTCGAGTACGCAACTTTGATTTATGGAATAAATATCAAAGTTACAATAGTTGTCCCTACTACAAACAAAATTCACGCGTCTACTGAGTCACACATAGAAATCGCTCCTAAGTGCGAGAGAGACAGCTAATCAAGGGCTTGACCAATAGGAAGCGAATCTGAACATCGCATGATCGCGTTCGCCACTAATGTAACGGCCCCGCGCCTCAGTCATTTTGTCCGTGACTCCGATCGAGGCTGGGTGTGTTTATTAAGTGTCTGCTGACTCACGTCGAATTTTAATTAAACGTAAGTACTTTTTATTCTAAATAATAGCATATCAGTAAGGACTAAGGTCTAAAATTCACATTGAATGTTTTTATTATTGTTTTTCGAACATTTTTTTTACAATTTATTAAAAATACGTTATAATTTCTCCGGAGTCACGTGTCCATTGGGTCACAAAAATCGTGACCCAAGGGAAAATTTTAGTTACTTAAGAGAATTTTTTACTTTTGTATCAAATTAAACTACGTTTTGTTATCAAATACTTAACATAGAAGTTATGTTAATTGCAGATATCTTATCAATTTTCTGCGTAGGTGTATAAAAAGAAAAAATAAGTAAAATACCCCCTTTACTACACTTTCGTGTGCCTGATAATGCTATAAACGTTTTATCTATTTATATATTAAGAGAGCTATTACAACTTTACTCGCGCATATAGCGCCACTTGTGATTTATTATGTTTATTTAATAAAATAAGACCGCTATGAACTATATTTTGTACTGAAGTACTTTTTAAACGTAGTATAGAATATGTTTTTTGTAATAGGCATTTGAGGGGTTCAGATATTTAAGATTATAAAGCTTTTTTCATACTTAAAGAAATAACTTTAGCTATTTTGTTTCAGTACCTATATAAACATGCCATTATCAGCAGCAGAACGACAGAGGCGGTACAAAGAAAAGCTAAAACGTGACCCTGAGAAGTATGAAGATTATAAAAAAAAAAAACGAGACAACTATCATGATAAAAAGAGACTTGTCAATGACTTAACACCAAAAGAGAGACACAATGCAAGGATAATCTGGAAACTTAGGAAGAAGAATTTGAGAGAAAAAAGAAATCAATTGAATAGGCTTCTTGATATAACACCGCCGAGTTCCCCTTCTACATTGGTGCCTGAAGTAAACCTACGTCAGAATTCTCCACAGCAGAACGATGATTCCGATATCTTGAGCATTAGTACTCCTCAAAGCTCTTTTGCTACTAGTAGGAATGTGACGAAAAAGGGTAAAGGAAGAACTAAAGTTAGAAGAGATAGAACAAAACTATATAAAGAGAATTTGAGGTTACAGCAAGAAATTGCAAACCTAAAAAAGAAATATGAGAAATATAAGAAACGTTTCAATAGGACCAAAAAAGAAACAGGTGAAAATAAACAGGAGGAAAGAAAATCTGATGATGCAACTAAATACAAAAAGCTATCCAACGCAATGAAAGAGAGGTACCAAACGATAAAGATACGTAAGGAAAAGAATAGTCTGAAAAATATATTTGAAAACTTTGAAGAATCTGAAAAAATTGAAATGATAAATGAGTCTTTGGGAATAATAGGACCACTCAGGCCGACGATAAAAGTAAAAGTCAATGTGTCTAAACTAAAGAAAAATATCGAAACGTTTTTTCAAAGAGAGGATGTTTCTAGACCGACAGCAGGTAAGAAGGAAACAATAACACGCCATGGACATAAAGTTCAGAAACGGTTCCTCTTAGACACAATAAAAAACCTATATAAAACATTTAAACAAGAAAATCCGGAAATAAAATGCTCATATTACTATTTTACTAAAATGAAGCCTTTTTATGTTGTGAAACCTACTGTGAGTGGTCGCGAAATGTGTTTATGCAAAACCCACACCAATCCAACTTATAAAGCAAGTGCTTTAAAGAAAAATGGCATCATAAATACTGACAATATGAGCGAGTTGATTACTGTTATTGTCTGTAATACAAAGGAAAAAGACTGTATGTATGGAACTTGTAAAAAATGTTGCAACTTAAAAATTCAAAGTAATATTGACAAAGATAGCAATAAAATACAATGGAAAGAATGGGTAAGAGTACAAGAGACATATGAAAAGGATGGAAAGACTTCAAAAGCATTTAAGAATGTGAAACAAGATAAGGAGGCAACGGTTAAAGAGATGTTGGATGCATTTAATGAAGAACTAAAAATATTGAAAAAACACGTATATAACATAAAAGTTCAATTTACTAACTTCAGACAAGCCATTGATAAATTATCAAGAACAGAAGCAGTGGTTGTTGCAGATTTTAGCGAAAATTATAGTTGCAAACACCATGAGGAGATTCAAGCCCATCACTTTGGTGGTTCCAGATTACAAGTATCACTGCATACAGTTGTGGTATATGTTCATACACATGATGGTAAAAAAGTTGAATCATTCTGCACGGTGTCACCAAATACTAATCATCAACCTGCATCTATATGGGCTCATCTTGATCCAGTACTAAAGGACATAAGAAGCACTTATCCTGATATTTCTCTAATACACTTCTTCACAGATGGTCCTTTTAGTCAATACAGGCAAAAACAAAACTTTTACCTAGCGTCAACTGCATTATTCGACCATGGATTTAAAGCAATGACCTGGTCATTTTTCGAAGCTGGCCATGGCAAGGGGCCAGCAGATGGTATTGGAGGCTATCTTAAAAGAACTGCGGATGATCTAGTTGCTAGAGGTGAAGACATTTCATGTGCAGAAAAATTTTATACAGTGATGAAAGACTTGAGCAAAATAAAGCTGCACTTAATTTCGTCTAATAATATAGAAAGCATCTCAAAACAAATACCACCAAAGATCCAGCCCCTACCTGGCACCAAAGATGTCCACCAAATATTTAGTACTAGTCGAGGAGAACTTAAATACAGACAGTTAAGCTGTTTTTGTAGCAGAGGCTTTTGCGAATGTCTGTCGCCAAAAGGATACAACCCCCTTCAGCTTGTGGCTGAAATAGAAACACCAAAGCAGGACACAAATAAGCCAAATACTAGTGCGAAGAATACCGAAAAACATGAAAATGTACCTGAGTTGATAGCCCATATTGAAGAAAATAGCAATGTAAGTATTTTAAGAAACCCGAAACTCATTAATGATCTTGTAAGTTCCGATGAAGATTTACCATTGAGTAACTATACAAACTCTGTGCTAAAAGAAATAGGATTATTGGACTTAAACAAGCCTCGTGACAAAAGCTGCTACCGAAATATTTATAAAACACCTGAAACATCCGATGATGAACAACAACCAGGTACTTCAAAAGAAAAATCTGCTGACAAAGAAAATTATCACGTCCAGCAGGGTGATTTTATGTTAGTTAACGTTCATGCCGTGAAAGGTAAGGTTTTTAAATATGCTTGCGTAGTCAATGATTTGCATGAAGATGGTGAGATAAGAGTCACATTTTTACGCTCAACGAGAAAAAGAAACACCTTTCGTCTGGACAAAAGTGACGTAGCTGACATCGACTACACAGACATATTAGAAATTCTCTCAGAGCCTAGAATTATTTCTAAACGAGGCCAGCAGTATTACGTATTTAAAAATAATGTAGATGTTTCTGAAAAGTGATCTCTTATACGTTCTTAGATTTTTTCTTATTTTGATTGTTATGGTCACAAGGTACAAAAATGGACGTTATTTTCTTTGATTTAATGAAAAGTTACTTATCTGTTTTTATTTTGCAAAGGTTTAATTTAAATTTTTTGTTTCACTAATTTACAAAAATTTTTGTGATTAAAGGTATAGTGTAAGTATATTGTAAGTTGATTGAAGAGTATAAAAGATAATTTGAGACTGATTGTTATCGTTAAGACTTGATAATTATTTTCGTTCCTTTACTAGCATAAATCTCAAAATTGTTTGCTTAGTTACCATTTAACAGTCTCTCGAGTCACATGGTTTGTCTCCTGGGTGACATGATTGTCCCCATATTCCACGACCATTATGTCTTTCGTTTAATACATAAAAAATGCTATTTTTAAATTTAAATTTTAGATTAATATAGAATACTCGATGAACATACAGCCCGCTACATTATTTTATTATGTATTACGGTAACAAAAATATTACAATGAAAATTGACGCTGATTAGTTACATTGTGACTCAAGAGACATAATAAGCACCCATATTTTTGTTAAAAGATTTATTTGTTGATTTTCTTTATGTTGTAGTTATTCCCTAAAATGTTTTAAAGAATTAAAACACATTATTTTACTATTTCGTGTTGTTTTATTCGAAATTCGTATACGTTACCCAAGGGACATTTTAAATGGTGAGTTCTCACGTTTTGTTTCAAAATATCTGGTTATATTCATAAAAGTGCGATGCTCTTTGTAAATTCATAAAATATATTTTTTTAGTTATCAAGATTGAGACTCAAATTCATTAATAAAAATAAATTAATTTTAACAAAAAAAAGTTGATTCGATACAGAAAATAGTTGATTCGCCCTTATATACTCGTATACATAAATCATATTTTTTTAAACGCATTAAACATTTTTATTTTTGACTACTCCTGTAGTCGAGTGGCTTGCACACCGATTTTCATGTTGTTGCTGTCTCTAAGGTCCCGAGTTCGATCCCCGACCGGGTCAATGAAGAAATTTTTTTTTACTATATTAAGTGACGGAATGAAGAAGTCGCCTGGTGGTAAGTGACACGCTTGTCCATAACAGTTGCAATGCCAGACAAGATCTGAGGGGCACTGCCACTGCGCCAGTCAGCCTGATCCATAAATTGACAAGTCATATGTCTGTAATTTCACCAAAAACCAGGATCAAATAATATAGGTGGCCTAAAAAAATCGAATAATGCATCGATCATTGAAACAAGTCAACCCAATTTATTTTACATCGATTAAAACATCGTTGCCACCTGCTAATTGTTTGTAATCTAAATTAATCATGGGAACATGAATTTTGTCGAAAAAACCTAATTGAACCTCCAACATAGCCCGTCCTTTAATGATGATTACTACAGAGATTCCATAGCTTGTCACGCGGAGAATGCGGCGTGTAAATAATATATCATTACCTTGCCCAGAATAAATATAAAAAGTTGTAATGAGAGCTCACATTCGATGGTTACATATTTTCATAAAAATTAAACGCATGAATACACTGTATATAAAAAAGTAAAAGATTCCCTATTATTCAATTTAATTCAAATTATTATATTTCACTAAAAACAATCTTGACAATATAGTATTCATTCTAATTTTCTCAGTTTAACTTTATATTTATAGATTTGTAGCTTTTTAGCAACTGGGTTCCGGTTTTGAAGAATAAGGGTATTGATGAAATTACAGGCACATGGGACATGTCAACTTATGATACTCAGATCTATCTTCGTGATTTAAAGCTCTGAGGTGGCACTGCAACTGTTTATGGATATGCGTGTAGTTTGCCTTACAAACTTACAGGGTTACAGGGTTACATGGTTGAACTTTAAAATTGAGAACTTTTACATTACCCATGTCACGAAATTATTTTATAAATATGAATATGTAGTCGGTGCAATAAAAACTATCATTTCTTGTGATAAAAATGTATTTATTTATGAGGTAAACACCGTCTTTAGGTTTTTAACACAAAATTATAAATTGAAAATAAAAATCCAAAACGAAAACTTTTTGTCTAAAAAATAAATTTTCTTGGAATAAATGTTTTATCAATAACACGTTTTAATTCTCATATAAATTAATTATCCCAGCAGAATCCAGTACTTCACTTTATTACTTACATTATTGACTTGTCTGACTTCTCTATTAGGCTTCAGATTGCCATTTGAATGTTAATTTCATTCAAATTTCTCCTAATACTGTTAAAATATTACACACTTTATGTCGCTTATAAACTATGTATATACCTCTATACATTGTAAACAATTTAAAATTATCGTTTTATTTTTGTATCTAAGACAGGTGACGCTGTTGTCATAAATAACGCACACACTCAACATAGCCCCGCACTAGGGAAACCCTGTGTCGCGGGTGCTATGGACACACACATAGACAACCACAAATTACACGCAAACTCACGAGAGAAATAAATGTAGGCCATATAAATATTTCTCCCGGCCCGGGAATCGAACCTGTAAAACAATAATATTACATACATATCATCACGCTTGTCTCCTAACGGGACAGGCAGATACTGGACCTCCATCTGCTACGTTCCTGACAAACTTCCTTCGCCTCCTCACCTAACACCAGTATCTTTATGCATGCACGTTTATTGTTGGGACTTTTAACTCGACCTTTATTAAGGACATCTCCAATCTAATTGAGATGTACGCCGATGTCTACCTCTCCCCACGCCTCCGTCCACATTTGCTCAAGTTGCGCCATCAATCTACCAACATTCATATTTTCTACCTGACCAAATCATCGAAGCATCCCTCTCCCTACCATCTTTCATACTACAACGCTCTTACTAGAACGCTCTATACTGTTTGGAATTCCGCCTTTAAGACTAATACCGCGCATCTATCACAAATAAAATAAAATTATAATATTGTTATCACAAATAATGTTCTAGCATTCTAAAGTTACGGTGCTCTAAAGGAGCTTCCTCACAATGCCGTACTATTCATGTCCTCTGTACGTCTGGCACATCCTGGACAACAATCGACGAGTACGTTACGCCGATTGGCAAAACCTTTCATCACGATGACGAACATGTCCCATACTTCAGCATGGCGGCTACTACCAGTGATGCGCGTAGCGGCAATAACTACATAATAATTATAGTTTTTACCATTGATACGATAATAAAAATAACGCATTCTGTGCAAAGATTTAGTAGAAACTAAAACGATTCTACTTTTTGCAATCGTTATAACCCTTATTCCTCTAAAAAGAAATCCTAATGACTTGTGATACATCTCATTTGGATGGCACGTCTAATATTTGTTTACTAAAGGTTTCCGCAAATCGACAACACCAGACCCGGTGTTTGATTTCACAGGTGATTTGAGTATAATTGGAAAAATATGACGTCATTTTAAGTCAAACAATTGCATAGAATACGAATGTTATTTGGAAAAGCAGATTTGATTGGAAATACGGATATTGAACATTGCTATATTTCCTCCATTACAAACACAATAAATATTAGATTAAAAAAGAGATATCCGGAAACTATAACAAAAGATAAACCTACTCTTAAAGCTCTCAAAACAATAACAAGCGTGATTATTTATTTCTACATGTTTATTATTCAAACGTGAAACGTTATACGTACGTACATAATATAAGGCTCATATGCATACAGTAACGGCACCTTTGGTAAATCCACAAACTGATGTAAGAGGTGAAGGGAAAGTCTTCAAAATCATCAAAATGAATGAATGGAATCTGCTGGCACGTTTTGCCGACACGCAAATATTGTGATGGACCGGTTCCAATGTACACAACGAGGTCTGTCAACTGACGAAGGTTGGTCTCAAACCGAACATCTTGATCGTAATGTAAGCGGAATTTTAATGATGGTATTGATGAACGCGAAAGAAATATTGAGAATGCAGGATCAAGTGTTAAAATTTTGTCTTATTTAGAAATTTATGTAAACATGAGTCACGATGAATTCAAATACTTTAAAACTAGTAAAGGTTCTGAAAGTATTGTATTGTAGAAAAAATTATCTATCTATTTGAGTTTAAAAAGCCGAATGAACAGTTTTTTCAGTTCTTTTTCTATATTGGTTATTTTTTAATAACTAACCAAAGGATACTTAATTTAATTCTGAAATGAATTGAGAGCTCCGCGATTAACCAAGTCCGATGACGGATTCGGAAACACCCGTCAGACAACTTCACTAGAAGATCAAAGAGACCGCCGGCGGATTCAAATTAACAAGGCAATTACCAAGTTGCTTTGAAAAACGTTTGCGCCGAGCCGGCCCGAACTATAAAATCTACCATTTACACTGTACAAACATTAACCAATGTAGAAACATCGAAACCCTGAGAAGACTAAACAATGATATGCCTTAATATTTCATTTATGTTGTACGATTAAATAACGACATTTATTTCCAAGACACAAAAATTCCAAAAAGATAAATTAGAATTACCGTAAATAATACACATAATTAATGACATAAACAAATCTTTCCCTCCCAACCGCGTTATCGCACCAGTTCGATCAATTCTTGACGTTAAATAAAATATAAGTAACGTCTGTCTCTTCTTATTATACACAGAGATAAGGATCGCGATGGACAGTCGCACAGAACCCCATCAAGACATGGAACAGAGATAAAAAAGTGAGGCTTAAAATTACAGAGAGGACCGAGGTCCGGCGCTAATGGCGTACATTAAAAAATATTTTCCATTACAGTTGCCGGTCGGATAATGTGTTTTGGTGGAAGAACACTTACCGAGGCGCCGGTAATGAAAACGGGGAAGTGACTCATGATATTGAAATACACAAAAAAGTACTCGAATCGGTAATAGCGTTGAAATAGTCATCGAAGTTGTTATTGGGCTAAAACTTAAGATGTAAGAAAATACTTGAAATTATGAAATAAAATTTTACGAGAGAAGCGTAGACACTTCAAAGTTTGCTTGTTCGGGAA